CTTTGCTTGCAGACCAGCTGAAGGTTTTCACACTCTGCCCCAGAAGGGTGGAGGCAAAAATGGGTTCACGCAAAAACAATACAGAGGTCTGAAAGCAGAGATATGCACCAACAATATTACAGATGTGTACTGGAGAAAAGAGGAGATTTGAAAGAGGAATATACTGTGAGATCATAAATGGAATAGTCACAATAATGCAGGACTAACAAAGGCAAGTCACATTAGTAAAGGGATAGTGTAACTCCACTGATGAAGAACAGGAACTAGATATGTTATACATGGACACAGAAACACAAACAGATGTACGCAAGGGCTAATAGCAAAGTATTAGTGGCAGTGATAGTAGCTCTCTATGGCAAGGGAAAGGCAGAATTTTGCCTTTTACTGCTTGCATTTTGTATTGCTTGTATTTTCAAAATAAAGATGTACCTGGGAATTGCTTCTGTAATTAAAATTGTAGTTTAAAATTACCTTTAAAAAGGATTTTCAAAAACATCACAATGAAATTCCTTTTTATTACTGAGCTTCTCTGCATTTAAAATGATTCCATTTATTACATTTTACCTCATTCATATCCTATGACAAGAAAGGCCAAGTTATTGTATGCTAGGCAGACAAATGAGGGACTCTAAAGACATGGAAAGCATTGCACATATTAGTATTATTAGGATGCCCCCCTGAACAATGTGACTGTGGGTGTGGATCCTTAGGATGAAGGTTAATTTGGCCAGAATATTTGAGACCCCTCCCTCTTTCCCTTCTAAATAGCTAACAAGAAGGAATCAGTGTTAATTTTTCAGATTATGTGGCCACGGAGCCAGGGGGAAATCAAGTATCAGAATTTAGAGAGATTCTTAGTAATTTGCCACAGCGATGTCTGTGCCTGTAGGACTATATCCATAGATCGAAGTCAGCGTTTCTCCACCTTTTGTCCCCTTTAGGACTCTTTTAAGAATTTTTTCCTAGTCTCCACCCCAAATGAATGTTTAATATTAGATTTTGATGAAAATGATAGGATATCTTTTTTTTCGGTACTGGGAATGGAACTCAGGACCTTGCGCTTGTGAGGCAGGCGGCAGAACCACTGAGCTAAATCCCCGCCCCCTAGGAAATCATTTTTATGGATAAATAATATCCTTTTACATATAATGCTTCATTTTCTTTATCTATTCATCCAGTGACAGGCATCTAGATGGATTCCACTTCTTGATCATTGTGAATATGTCCAATCATCATGTGATAATCAAAAAATTTGTTAAATCCTAACTACCCTAATTTAATCATGATACACTGTGTATATGTATCAAATTATCATACTGTACCCCATAAATATACACAATTAAAACAATAATACAATAATACGTAAAAATAAAATTTTGAAAATTTAATACTACAGATATACTATTCTACATACTAAATATAGTTAGTCTATGTACTGCGGCTCTTTGGGGGACCATAAACTATTATAAAAATCCAAGATTTTTGTACCTCCTTCAAGAGACAGTTTTTGCCCCTTCAACAGTAATTTCAGCTCTGTTGAGAATGGGCATTCTACATCTGTACTGCATATGTGCATAGCAGTGAGGGGATTCATGAAACTTTCCATTTCCTTAATAATACTTCCTAAAGTGTTGAGCCGGTTGGGGTATTGCTGATAGTTTCTTATTTTCCTGCCACGCTCATTGCGAAACACTGAGGACGTGACTAAAACATGACAGACCATCTGGTCAATGCCACAGAGGATGTGCCTGGGAGCACCACGGCTAACAGATCCACAGCTGGCCTTCTTCCAACTCAACACCTCCCAGGGTGCTGCGTGAAAAAACCCCACAGAACAAACAGTTTTGAAGGATTCTAGTCCTGCTCAGAAAGTCCCATGACTTCTGAAACTCTGCTTCACCCCAAAAGGAGGGAATAAAGGGAGGTCACAGGTTCTCATATTAGTAACAGACTGTGCCCAACAGAACCATGGGAGGAAAGAAGAAACGGGCATGAAAGAAAGATAACTCAAACAAAATCTAGCTCTGGAGGTCTCTGGGGCTGCGTTCCACGGGACAAAGGCTTGACTTCCCAACTCTCCTCACCTGTACCCTGATAGGGTTCATTCTAGAATCAACACTGACCAGAATGGGAGGAGCCACAGAGTGGTGGTGGGGGAGATACACACAACACACACACAAAACTTTCAAGAAACGATGACATATACCGATATATTCCACTCCAGGATGGTCATTTCAGTTTTTAAATCTTGTCACAGTCCATTAAAGTGATATTACCAACCACGAATGGCTCATAACCTTGGATTTAAAAAATATAAATATATTCCAAACCCTTTAATGCACAGATAAGAAAGCTAAGACTCAGCAAGGTCAAATCCAAGGTGCTAAGGCTAGTTTCTGCCAGAACCAGGACCAGCGTAGACCAAGGTAAATGCCGACTGTTGGTATCAGTCTAGTAATTAGAACTCAACTCAATGAATTCCTCTTCTATAGATCCTTCCTTGATCTCCCTGGTCAGAATTCATTTCTACCCCTGCCTCACTGCCACACTTCTAAGGTGCTATTATCACTGTTTTAATTTTTTTTTAATACAGTGCCAGGGCCACGTGCATCCTAGGTAAGTATTCTACCATTGATCTACAGCCGAGAGTCTCTTGGATTTTTTTATGTCCCTCTGAACCAAAATAGCATTGTCCACATCACTAAACTGACTATTCTGCTCCTCTCCTCTGCTGCTCCCTTGTCATGAATCCTAGCATCTTCATTGTGGGACAGGAAGCTGCCTCCTGGAGGAGGGGCTGACCTTTACTATCCCACACAGAAAAACCCTGATAGGCAAGGCATAATGCCTCTTGAATCCTGATACACAATTTCCAAAAATCACTCTATGTTGCTGAGCCAATTTGGGTGATTGGTGCTATCCGAAGTAATTCCTCAGGAGTCTGGGGAAAGGCCAGCATTTAAAAGCAGCCTGCCTCACTGGGCCCCTACTTCTAGATTAAAAGATTGTGTCCAGAGAGGCTGCTTGCCCATCAGGTTTCATTTCTCTTAGTAGTGCACCTGGGGTGAGGGGAGGACACAGAATATGTGGCAGCCTCCAAATGCCTCTTCCCTCTTCTACCTTAGCAGTTTGCACCCCCAGCCTTCCTGGGACTCTCCCCACTCTCCTCACTCTGAGGGCCCATGAGTTCCCAATCCCTGTGGCTATCACGAAACCATGAAAATCAAACTCATCCCATCAGTAAAGTATTTGGCCCCTACTTAAGCTTCTGAGGTCCCAAATGCATTATGTGTTTCCAAGTTAGCTTACCCACAGCAGCTTGAATGACATTCATAAAGTCACATCTTCCATGTCCTAGTGCCTTAGAAGGGAGAGTCACTGTCTATATCAGGGTTCCTGACAAACTATAGCCAAATCCAGCCAGGCATTTGTTTTTATAAATAAAGTTTTATTGGAATATACCCACACTCATTTCTGTGCCTGTTGTCTGTGGCTTCTTTTGTTCTACAGAGCAAGGCTAAGAAATTGCAACAGATTGTTTGCCTGCAAAGCCAAAAATATTCACTATCTGACATTTTATAGAAAGGTTGTCCATGCTCAGCTCATAGACTCCTGCTCAACTCTTTGATTAAAAATTGTAGTAAAATATGCATAACATAAAATTTACTGTTGTAACCATTTTTAAGGGCAGTATCAGGGACATTAAGTACATTTGCATTATTTTACAACCATCTCCACAAATCTATCCTCAGAGCTTTCTTACCATCCCAATTGAAATCTATACTCATTAAATAATAACTTCCTCTCCGGTGGCCCCTGATAACTACCCCTATGCTTTCTCTCAATACAGATTTGACTACTCTGGGCACCTCACAACTGTGGGATTATACACTATTTGTCCTGTTGTGTGTGGCCCCTTTCACTTAGCGCACATTTCCAAGGTTCATCCTGTTATAGCTGGTGTCAGAACTCCCTTTTTTTCCAAGGCTGAATAATACTGCATTGTGTGGAGAGACCACATTTTGTTTATCTGTTCAGAGGCTGATGGACATTTGGGTCATTTCCACATTTTGGCAGTTGTGAATAACTCTGCTACCTGCTCGGTTTTTGTTTTATTTTATTTTTTGAGGCAGGGTCTCACTAAGTTCCTCAGGCTGGCCTTGAACTCACAATCCTCCTGCTGCGGCCTCCTGAGTAGCTGGGAGCACAGGTGTGCACCACCACACCTGACTTGCTTAATTCTTGAGTCTCATTTTCATCCCTTGCCTGGCTCTCATGAAAGCCATGGGGGCCTGCAGTCTGTCAACTCCCACTGTGGGTCACTTCCCTCCACCCTCAGTTGAGATGAGTCTCAGGGGCAAAGTCCACGCTAAATTTCTAGAAAAAGAACATCTTGACAATAATATTTTATACTCATTCTACATTGAAATGATAATATTTTGATATATTGGGTAAAACGACACATGAAAATTGGTTGTCACTTGTTTCTTTTTAGGCATTTTAAAGTGGCTACCAGAAAATTTAAAGGTAATCTCTAGACTGCATCCTATTTCTAGGGACAGCACTAGGTTAGACTCCGCAGGAGTCAGCAAAGGCCTTAGGAAAAGGCTAGCTGGTAATTATCTGGGGCTTTGTAGGCCTTATTCAACTCTTCCACTGTCACATGGAAGCAGCTGCCGCCGATTCATAAAGGAAGGAAGTTGTATGTGTCCTGATACATCTCACTTACAAACACAGGTCCTGGGTCCCATTTAGCCCCATCCCTTAGTTTGCCAACCCAGTTCTCCAATATTAATAGCACTTAAAAAGGGGCCAATTCTGGGAAATTCCACGCTGTTCACTTTTTGCAGAACATATGAGAGAAAAGCCATGTTTAACTCAATTAGAATTGGGAAACAAGAGTCTTCTTTGGACTCCCCGACCTAGGGGGTCCTGGAGCCATGAGGCAGCCCCCAAGGCCCAGGACATTCCTGCCCCTGGCACCCAGCAACCGCACTCACTTGGGCGTGTGGGCCTCATCCACGCGGTGACCCAGCTGGAACTCGTGGGATTTGCTCCGGTGCAGGGCCGTGAACCCTGGGATCAAGTGGATCAGCTTTCGAGAGGAGGGTGGCGGGGTTCCGGGGGGCTTCAGCTTGTTCTTCCTCCTCGTGGGTGGCGTGCCTGGCGGGGTCACCGTGGTGACGATATTTGGGGTGTGCGGTGGGGTGCGGACTGCATGCCGCTGCCGGGGTGATGGGGGCAGGGAACGGTGGCCTGACTCCAGGGGGGGTGGCGGGCACAAGCCTGGGTAGGCGTCCACAGTGAGCCTGTCCACATGGGTGTACACAGGGGCCCCAGGTGTGGGGCTGGTGTGACAGTAGTGCTGGACACACTTGGACTGGACTCTGGGGCTCTGGGAGAGGTGGGTGCGGATCCACGGGGTGGGTTCTGGAGGACACACAGGATTGTTCTCCTTCCCGGGCTCCGTGGTGGGCCACTGGATGATCCAGTCTTGTTTGGAAAGGTTGCCTCCTGAATTGGAACAAAAGAACGGAGAGACAATGGATAAGCCAGAAGAAAGCAAGGCACCATCACATCTGTGCACCTTACATGGTATGCATGTCATACAATATGCTCCTTACATTGTACGCACCTTACATGCATCGTATACCACATCATATACACCTTACATCATAGCACCTTACATCGTATGCATGTTACACATGAACATCACATCATATAGACATTATATCATATGTACCTTATATCATATGCACATTACATCATGTGCATGTCACATTATACACATGTCACATCACATGCCCCTTACATCATAGGTATATCACGCCACACACAAGTTACACAACTTGCATATTATACCATATGTACATTATATCACATGTGTCTTACATCACATGCACATTCCATCAGCAGCACATTCACAAAAACCAACCACACCCTCTGGGTCTCTCCAGAAAGAGAATGAGATCCCTTTGTTCCTCTAGTTACTCTCTCTTCCCTTCAACATCCTTGCCTTCCATTGGAAGCCCACAGCACAAATGCTCAGAAAACCAAAGAAGTTGATTCTTCCCTTTTAACCTTCCAAATATCCCAGTTCCAGGCTTTTTGAGGTGACTTAAAGGATTCTCAAGAATAACTTTTCCCTTATGTGCTGATTTTACTACCTAAACCCCATGGGAGATACAAATTCTTCAGAAGTCCAGTTCATGCTTACCCCTTCCTCAACCACTGATTTGGCCACTGCCCTCATGCCCTGGGTGGATGTTGCTGAGTGCTTGCTCGTGTATTCATCTAACAAGCACTTTCAGAATGCCAACTATGTGCCAAGTACTATGCTAGAAGAAGGGGTAATAGCAGCACACAGACATGGCCCTGGTCCCCAAGACTGACACTCTGCCAAAGCAGAGCAATGATAGGCAAACAAACACACTTGCTGAAGCATTTCCCGTGGTTACAGTGCTGGAAGGGAAAAAAACAGGATGATGTGATAAACAGTACCATGATGGTGAGTGGTTACACAGACTCTGTCCACACAAACCACAGGCCACTGCTTGGCCATAAACAGGAACCTGGATGGATCTCCAGAGAATTATGCCAGGTGAAAAGAGCTAATCCCAAACATTACACACTGTCTGATTCCACTTGCATAGCATGTTTGAAATGGCTACTTTTTAGAAGAGGATAAATTGCTGGTTGCCACATCTTAGTGATGGGAGAGGAGTAGGTATGGAATGAGCACATGTGGCTATAAGAAAGTAATACAGGGCTGGGGATTTAGCTCAGTGGTGCTGCCTCCTGCCTCACAAGCACAAGGTCCAGAGTTTGATCCCTGGTACCAAAAAAAAAAAAAAGTAATACAGGTCTCTCTCTCTTGAGGGCCTGCACTTTATTTCTATCTAAATAAATTCCTTTATTGAAAGAAAGAAAGAAAGAAAGAAAGAAAGAAAGAAAGAGAAAGAAAGAAAGAAAGAGAAAGAAAGAAAGAAAGCAATAGAAGCAATGCATGTAGTCCACCATTTCACCATGGTGGAGAATCCATGAATCCATCCAGCTGATGAAATTACATAGAACTAAGTGCACATACCCCCCCCAAGTACAAGTAAAATTGGGGAAATCTGAAAAAAGGTCAGTGCATTGCATCAATGCCAACATCCTGGCCATGATACTAGTTTTGCAAAATGTTACCATTAGGGGAAACTGAGCAGTGTATGAGGACTCTTTGTATTATTTCTTACAAGTGGATGTGAATCGACCATTACCTCAAAAAGTTTAAGAAATTAAAAATGAAATCCAAGACCAGGGGCGGAGAGGTTACTTTAGCAGTGTTCCAGAAAAGCCACCTAAATAAAGTGCTGTGTAAGCTGACATCCAACAGCCAGGGACAGGTGCACCACGCAGGCAGCACCACGAGGGTGAAGGCCTAGAGGAAGAAGGGCTGATTTGCTGTTGTTGTTGTTGTTGTTGTTATATTTTACATCTACCAGAAGCTTATAGAATGGAGAATTTCTTTTCAGATCTTAGTGTACTGAATGTAAATTTAGGTTTTCAGCCTTGACAAAAGTTCAATCAAAAAATTTTAAACCCAATAGTGTACTAATATTTTCTACTCCTTTGCTGTATTGATAACGCGCCTGCAACCTTGATCTAAAGATAAAGACACTCACGCAACACCCATGCTAAGAGATATCAAAACAGAAGGGTCAAGTAATACCAGATCGTCAAGCTTCAAAACCATCTAAGGTGGACAGACGCTTGCTTTCCTGGTGCCTTTATGAAGGTGGTCTTCCTGAGGTGGGGTGACATTGGGAACTGCCCTCACAAGAGGCTGAAGAGGCAGGTGGGAGATAGGCCATCATCACGCATGGGCTGGGGTGCAGTTTGGATTCTACATAAGTTCACAGGGGAGCCATAGAGTTTGGGGGAAGGGGAGGCCCTTGACCTAATGTTCATTTCTCCAGAATCACACAGGCTGCTGCATGGAAGGTTATGTCCAATGAAAGGGGATCATAGGGACCATATGGATGACACCAGCTCTGAAATCAGCATGGTAGCAAAGATGAAAAGAAGACAACACAGAAAGACAAACACCTCAAATTCACACTTATATGTGAAAGCTGCAAAGTTGATCTCAGGGAAATGGAGAGTAGAACAATGATTACCAGATGTGGGAATGGTGTACAGGGGTGGAGAGAGGATGATTAACAGGTACAGGTGGAGAGGAGAAATAACTTCTACTGTTCTATAGCACAGCAGGGTAATGACAGTCAATGACGATTAATTGTATAATTCAAAATGGCTAACAGAGAAGATTTTGAATGATCCTAGCTCAAAGAAATGATAAATGTTTCAGGTGATGGAATGCCAATTACACTGATCTAATCAGGACACATTATATGCATCTACTGAAATGAAAAGCTGTAGCCCATAAATGTCCACAATTGGTATGTGTTAATTAAACATTTTGAATTAATACATACATACATTAAACAAAAAGGGAAGCCAGCCGGTGTCAATGGAGGAAGAGGTGGAGGGGACTGGGGGTACTTATCCTGTGGGTGCTCCCATGGTAGGAGAAGGAAGGAGATTTGGGGCAGAAAAAAATTCCAACTCATAGCCAACCGGCAATAACAATAATAATTACTATAATGACCGTAACAAGAGCTAATTTGTAGCCCATTTGACAGTTTACAAAATGCTTTCAAGAACACTGACTCACCGCCCCATTTTAAATTAAAACAACTCATTTTGTTATTACGTATTCATTACAGAAAAAAATTAGAAAGTTCAGATAAGGAAAAAGGCAACGTTACTCTGTAGCCTAGCCATCATCTCTATTAACACTGGCTGTTCAGCCTTCCGGCTGGCTTTCTGAAAATCTTTCTTTAGGGGAAAAAAGTGTTAATAAGATAGCAGTGATGGTTCATCATTTGTTCTATCAGGACTGTTTTACATCTTACTTAATTTTTGTAACTCTGAGGCCCAAAGGGTCATTTTGATCTCCATTTTGCAGATGTGCAGACACTGATGTGCAGAGCTGAAGCTATGCCCAAGGTCATTTCAGAGATGGTAACTGGCAGCCTGGATGTGAACCTAGGACCTCGACCATCTCCCCACCCAGGGCATACAGATGTCTGCCGCAAAGAGCTAAGCCTGCATGGGCTGAAGACCACAGACCATCCTACGTCAGTCCAACAGGACTGTGCTAGAACAAGGCCTTGTTTCTCACAAGAGTCTCCTTGTTCCCTCTCCCAGATTTGCTAGGACATTCTACCAATGTCACCATCATTACATCTACTCTCAGATATGGATGCACACACATTAGCTGAGTGATTAAGAATTAGCTCTGGAGTCAAACGACTTGGACTCCAAATCTCCCTTCCTCTCTTTTTGGCTGTGTGACCTTGAGCACTCCTCTAGCCTCTCTGAATCTTAGCTTTGTCACCTGTGAAATGGAACAATAATAGAACCTCCTTCAGGGACTAAAACGAAGATCAAATGGAATGACTCAAATAATGCACTTGCCGGAGCCCCGGGCACAAAATAGATGGTTGTAAACATCCGCTACTGTGACTGCAATTCAGCACTGTGGTAATATGTCAAAATCTCCCACTTACGGGTGTGTACTGGTGCTGAGAGCTGTACTATCATCATTCTTTGGACAGCTAGAAGCTGATGTCAGAGAGACTAAATAACTGTGAGCTAGGGGTGGAACAGAGAATCAAGTCCATACAGCTTCTCCGTCACCCAGTGAGCTCTGGATTGATGTATTTGTTCAAGGAATACAAACCCATTGCCAAATTAGCCTACTTAAAACATGTTTAAGCAGGGAAATTAGTGTTTTTAAGCTATCTTACACTTTTACTACAACACAAGCCCACTCTGGGTGTTACCCCTGCAGCTGTTGCCCTCCCTGGGTAAAATAGGAAGAATATAGGGTAGGGAATCAGACAGACCTGACTTAAAATTCTGGATCCACCACGAGCCACCTCTGTAACCCTGGGGAAGTTACTCAACCTCTCTGAGCCTCAGTTTGGGGGTTCATAAAAGGAGAACAATCGTGGTTTCATTGGAGAAATAGAGTGAGGATTAAATGCATTCATTCATCCATTTATTTGACAAAAACTAGAACACCTTTCACACCCAGGCACTGTTGTAGGCACTGAGGTGCACCAGTAAACACAACATACAAAAATCCCCATCTTCATGGAGCTCATAGTCTTAGGGTAAAAACAGAGAGGAAAGAGGGGGAAACCAACAACAGACACAATTCATCATATATTATACATATCGTGTCAATGATCGTAAGTGCTGTGGAAGGAAAGAAGAAGGACATGGAAACAATTAAAAAGCTCTAGGGGCTACTTTACCCAGAAAATGACAAGGTGGTGATAATGAGCATCTGAGCAAATATCAGAGTGACGTGGGGAGAAAATGAGATGAAGTGAGTCAAGCCATCAGACAGAGCCCAGACCATGACAATGACGCAAACAACTGGTGGATGATTGAAGATG